AGATTCGGATCAAACACTTTCCTCAAATTACACCAACCAGTAGTGACACCAAAAAACAACAGATTATAATGCAACTGCAAGCCCATTCCCAGATCTTTAATATTGACTGATATGAAATCCACAATAACCAAGTCAAAATGGTACTCCTTAACGATATGGCATGAAAATTAGAAAATACTATCAAGTAAAGGAGCCAAGTTTCGACCCCGCATTCATAACATTGTAGCAAATTCATAATCAGACCATTCAAATCAAAAGGAAGAGAAACTAAACAGAAAATAATTCCAATTATGGTAGCAAAACTCACAAGACAGGAAATAATCCCTAAGTCAGCAAATTTTGTATTTAGGGATCCCATGACTTGTGCGTGCTTCGGCTTCCAAATCTCAATCTCAAGCTCAAATTTGCAGGTAAACTTTTTCAATTTCGGGTTTCAGACTTCCAGTCAATCGCAGTGTTCAAAAAATGGGGCCAGGCGGATGGCTAGGGGCTAGGCGGGTGCTAGGCGGCTGGGCGGGCCTCCTAGGCGGGTTGGGTCATTCTTCTATGTTAAGTAATGAGAAACTACGTTTTTTTTTTCTTCTTTTTTTCTCCCATCGTTTATAAATTTCCCGTCTTTTTAGAATGATCGTGTGCAGTAACTAGTTTTTATAGTTCACTCATGAATCCTGCTAATGTGATTCTTCAGTCGGAACCTGGGGGTGTTGGAGACATAGGACTATAGGATGTGTTAGTTCAGGGAAAAAGTTGCTTTCAAGAAATTTTAGAGTCTGGAATCTTGATGCAGGCCCAATGGCCTTAAAGGTGCATCTGCTTCTGGATTACGTACTACTCTCTCAACCTTACTGATATGATCCGAAATTTGAACCAATGTCAATTATTTCAGGAAGCTCTGGTCAAAGATTCATAAGTATCTGTTAATCGTATCCGACAGAGTCCTGATGGTTCTATATTTGGTGAGAATGTTCTCATACTTAAAATGGTATGGAGTTGCTGATTTTCAGTTCTTGTAGTTCAGATTCACTGCCGTCGTGTTCTTCAATGAACTGGGGTTGCATATGCAAAGCGCATTGTGCAATTATATTCTTATAATGGAGGCAACAACAATTGGAAGTAAGTTATGAAAAAGAACACAAATTCTCAAGGAAACTGCAACTTTTGAGTACGTGACTATAAACCCAACCCATCATTTATCTTACGTAGATTGATGCTCACTTAGGAAGTGTAAATGATTTTGGCATTCTTTTCCCCTCACGACCAACTTTTGGTCATAACTTGTGCTGATGACAAGACCGTCAAGGTTGGTTTCATTATTGTATGTTTAAGGTTTGGGATATATTTTGTAGCCAAAGACAGTTTACTTTTGAAGGTCATGAAGCTCCGTCTATTCTGTCTGTCCTCATACCAAATAAAATGTCCATGTAAGGGCCACTTTGGGTATTGATGTTGTGGTTCTGGTGAAGTTTTTGTTCTGAATCATCTGATTTACTTTCCGGTTCCTGCAATATATTATCCAACACTTGTTTTCATGCTTCATGCCGCAGTTGTCTTTTCAACATCGGTGGATGGCAAGATCAAAATATGGTTATATGATAGCTTTGAAGGCAGTGCTGCGCCAAACTGGCTCATAGTGCTGATGTTCAAAGGTTCAACTTATATGGCCTGCGATTGCCATCTTTTATTTCCTGATTGATATCTTTGGGGGGAAAAAAAAAAAAAAAAAAAAAAAAAAAAAAAAAAAAAAAAAAAAAAAAAAAAAAAAAAAAAAAAAAAAAAAAAAAAAAAAAAAAAAAAAAAAAAAAAAAAAAAAAAAAAAAAAAAAAAAAAAAAAAAAAAAAAAAAAAAAAAAAAAAAAAAAAAAAAAAAAAAAAAAAAAAAAAAAAAAAAAAAAAAAAAAAAAAAAAAAAAAAAAAAAAAAAAAAAAAAAAAAAAAAAAAAAAAAAAAAAAAAAAAAAAAAAAAAAAAAAAAAAAAAAAAAAAAAAAAAAAAAAAAAAAAAAAAAAAAAAAAAAAAAAAAAAAAAAAAAAAAAAAAAAAAAAAAAAAAAAAAAAAAAAAAAAAAAAAAAAAAAAAAAAAAAAAAAAAAAAAAAAAAAATCAAACATTGAAATGTTGCGTTGTGTTGTGATATAATCAATCAATTGTTGGTCTTCAAACCCACAAGGGGCCTAAGCCTCTCAGTCAGATTTTGCATAATGGATATTTCTTTAAAGAACAATCTATTGAATCTCATAATATGCAGAGATCATAATCTTCCAAAAGCCACAAGATACCTCAATTTTTGAAATTCTTGTTACAATAATTCCTCAAAAGCTCCTTCACCCAGCCAAGTTTCAACCCCGCATTTATAACATTGTAGCAAATTCACAATTAGACCATTCAAACCAACAGGAAGAGAAACTAAAAAGAAAATCGTTCCAATTATGGTAGCAAAACTCACAAGACAGAAAATAATCCCCAAGTTACTGATCCTCTACAAATGAATGGTGTTGTCAAACTCCGACAGATACTGTTTGAATGCATCTGGATTTCCAGTTTCTATTAAATCCATTCCCATCCTGTCCAAACCCTCAATAGATTTGTGTACAGAAAATAGAGAGTGAGACCCGCCAGGAAACAAGAAATCTAAATTAAAAAAACGTCATTCAAGTTTTCCAAAAATCGGCCGCCTAGGCAGGACCTTTTCAAAAAAAAAAAAAAAAAAAAAAAAAAAAAAGAAATAGCCGGGCGGCTATACTCTTTAAATAATGTATAGCATAGTAAAAAACAGTATCGCCGCGCGGCTATACCTTTTCGACACGTGGAATAGGCGCAAGTCGCCAGGCGGTGGTCTTATTTTTAATTATAAATAATATAGCCGTGCGGCTATACTCGGGTGCTGTTTTAAAATAAAAATAGTATAGCCGTTCGGTTGTACTTGGATTTTTTGACACGTGGCGAAGTAGCGCTAGAAGCCCGGCGGTGGTCTTTTTTTAATTATAAATAGGATAGCCGTGCGGCTATACACGGATTTTTAGTTTAAAGGGAAAACAAACAACTAGTTTCAAGAAAATAGGTTCTTATGAAATCTGACAGCAACTAATTTATGGGTCTAGGGCAGTAGTAGCATTTCGAATTTGGAAACCTAATTGGCTTGGGTATTGGAGGTATTCAGTTTTGGGGGAAGGGGGAAATTGAAATTCTTCAGTAGTCAACTTTCCGGAAAATTAAAGAAAGTAAAGTAGTCTATGTATCATCTTTAGAATCCATAATTCAAACAACTTGAAAAAATGACCAGTACGCGGGTTTGGATTTACTTTCACAAGTTCACAACTCACACAAATGACCTGACAAACAAGTATTCCAATGGCAACGGCCCCATGTGGGCAGACACAACGATCATACCACCAAAACATTAAAAAAAACACATAGGAATGAATGATGGAACCTTATCACACCAGAATTGTGGCAAATCTGGTAAAGCCTATTCAGGTTATTTTCACTATCTTTCAGAAGTATCTGTAAAAGGGCAAATCTCGATACTATATATACTCAATATTGATCGGCATCACAATTTCATATTTCTCATTGCACTACGAAGGAAAATAAACTTACCCCACAGAGAAACAGGATCCTCCTATCTGAACCAGTTATGTTACCTCCTAGTGCCTCCACAAAAAGCCTAATTAACGCAGCAGGCTGGCGCTAGGCTGCTAGGCGGAGGCTAGGCGGGCGCTAGGCGGCTAGGCGGAGGCTAGGCGGGCGCTAGGCGGGCTAGGCGGTGGCTAGGCGGCTAGGCGGGGCTAGGCGGCTAGGTAGTAGCTAGGCGGGCGCCCAGGCGGGTTGGGTATTTCGGTGCCGAACCGGAGGACGAAGCAGTGACTGCGAGAGAAAGTTCCGTCCTCTGCGAGTGCAAGCTTCGTGTTCGTTTGGATATATTTAAAGAGTATAGCCGCTCGGCTGTACTTTTAAAATATACGAATGCAATTAGAAAGTATAGCCGTGCGGCTGTACGTTTATAATTTATATCGGGGAATGCTAGCAAAGGGTTTAGATAGGGGAAAAAAAAAGTCCTTATAACAATACCATATGGCGTAACTTGACCAGCAAAATATTCATGCATGATGAGGCTTAGCTATCAACATCCCTAAGGAAAGGACAATCACTCATTATGTGAGACACCTGGCCAGGCTTGAGGCATGCATGGTTCTCCCAATACGATTGGCCTTTTTTATTTTCTGCCTGCAATGTAGGCAAAATCAAATAGATCTCTAGATAATGATCCACTGTCAATCACTCTTGGTCTTCACCTCTTAAGTTCCAAGATTTTCTTCTCACTTGGTAGTTGGAATTTAGATCGCTATTTTCTGTTCACAAATACTATGACTGTCAGTGCATTTCTATTATCTGTGCTATGTCCACAAACTCAAAATAAGAAGTCAACTTCAGAGTAGAGACTTTGATAATGATGCTTCATCTTAGACTCCGCACAAATTTTATACAGAGCTCACAGGCCACAAGTAAGGAGTAAAATGCACTCGTAGCTCCTCTATACCAACTGTACCAACTTCATGAACTTCAATTCCTTGTGGTCCCACACTTCCCTTGTGAAGTATTTCCGATGAAACCTTTACTTGCCTGGTGTACTCATAAAACTGCCTGGTGTCCCATCCAGCCTAAAATACTGTTGCACTAGATTAGCTAGACTCTGTATGACCTTATAAAGCCTTTCAAGAACTTCAGGTGTTGCGCCATAACACGAAAACCTAAAGTCATTATGCTACTTCCCTTCCCTACATGAAAAATCACGTAATGCTCTCCTAAACTACAATCTCAAAATCCAACATTAGGCTCTCAATATAATCTTAACAAAATTCAAGAGCACATTTTCTACTGATTTACGATAATTGACAGGTGCCCTCATACAACAATTGTCAAGAGCATGTTTAAACAAATTAAAACCCCTAAAATTTACAATGAATGAACAGAGGCAACAGACCTTGACGACAAGGGGAGAGAGAGAATGCGTTTGGATGCTGGAGAGCGAGAACGGAAAAGTCGGCCTAGGCGGTGGCTAGGCGGTGCTGGGCGGGCGCTAGTCTGCTAGGCGGTGGCTAGGCGGCTAGGGGTCGCTAGGCGCCTAGGCGGGTTGGGTCTTTTTTGGGTGCCGAACTTGAAGGACGAAGCACTGACTGGGAGAGAAAGTTCCGTCCTCTGCGGGTGCAAGCTTCGGGTTCGGTGGAATACATTTAAAGAGTATAGCCGGTTGGCTGTACTTTTTAAATATTCGAATGTAATTAGAAAGTATAGCCGTGCGGCATCATTTTTGCTTTGTCCAGGGCACGTGCAGCATCTGCCATGAGAGCTCTTTGCTTTAAACTCAGGAAGGATGCAAAATTCAGAAAAGACGCTCTGATACCACTTGATGCAGTTCAAGTATGAACTCGCAGAGCTTGTTACTATATTTTCCCTTGTGGATTTCCTTACTACTCTTCACCTTGTTTGTTACTTGTTTTGCACTTTAAAGTATGCTGATAATCTCGTTGGCTTAAAATGTTTGTTACTTCTTATCGCAGGGTTGTTCCTTAGTCGTGCTCAATCTAGCAGACATTCTGATAAGAGCAGAACCGTTGGCCACTGGTTTGGCATCAGATGTGCACGGGAAGGTATGTGCTGGAACACATTTTGTCACTTCACCAGATTGAATTTTCTGTAAACTAGCTTCTCTAATATGGAAAAAGCAAGAGTCTATTTCCTTTCAAATATGGAACAGTCCTATAGTGAGTTCACTGGTTTTCACCCATGGTTTTTCATTTGATGCATCTCTTCACCAAGATAGATTGCTAGAAACTAGAAAGTATGTCTGTCAAATCATTCAAGTATGGTCCCCTCTCGTCATTTGTGGTTGCTTACTTTTTGAGTCTTGGTTGTTATGGAAATGAATAATCTGCTACTTAAAAACTTTTAACATATGCTTATGCAGCCTCTGCTGATCCTCTGGTTGGTATTTAGTTTTGTTTTTTTATGTGTTATGCTCATACATATGCTAGTTTGCTTTGTGTCATGGTCTTTTTTCTGGATTTTCTTGTTCTCTTCTCTTTTACCTGTCGTATCTTCTCCGCCGAGTCCACTAGATCACAATTCTGTGAGAACTATTTCCATTAGTATTGCTTGCTGGCTTGCTGCTGGTGACCCGCCACTTATGCCTGTAGCAAGGGTACTTTTCCTGTCTAGTATTACTTCCCAAAAGTCTCACCTTAATGGTTTTGATATCCATACAATTGAACGAGATTACGAAAGTTATGATCCTCATTGTTCTTGTTGGTTGCAGTTGACAGTCCTGCAAGACCTTGAAGGGCATTTACAGATGCGTCACGGAAACCTTGAAGGGCTTTAAATATATTTTCACATTGCACCAACAATAAAAATATAGATTTCTCTGTAGGCCTACCTTTTGAAGTGCCTTTTGTGAAAGTCCCACATCGAAAATACACACTCCTATAAAATGTTTATAAACAAAGCACTATGATAGTGAAGAAGTGTGGTTAACATTGGGGTGTTGAGCAAATAGCCTGGGCTATGGGCATGGGGCATGGAACAAGAGTAAAGAAACTAATTTTATATGCTGAAAATTTTTTAAAACAAAAAAAATAAAAAATTTTATTTAATAAAGAGTATAGCCGTACGGCTATACTATTTATAAATATAAAAAAGCCCAGCCCAGAGCATATGCCCACGTGTCAAACACGTAGAGCCGGACGGCTATACTATTTTTAAAAGCAATGAAGAAAAACTGCGTATCGCCGTGCGGCTATACTGCTTTAAAAGTATATGTATTATTTTAATTCAATAATATGTGAGAATATGTATTAATACGTGAATTTTGTGTGCCTTATTGAAATTTTGTAAAAAGTACATGTATAATGCATGAGAAATTTAATTAAGACACCCCAACGATTTCACAAAACACTTAATAAGTAGAAATTAATTATGTTGTGCACTCTATCCTTAATTTTTTTTTCCGTATTAAATAGTAATTAATGTAATTCAAAAAGGATAAGACATTACTTAATTACACATAATAAATTAAATAAGTAGGCCCAAAAAAAAGAGTAAAGAAACTAATTTTATATGCTAAAAATTTTTTAAAACTAAAAAAATTAAAAATTTTTATTTAATAAACAGTATAGCCGTTCGGCTATACTATTTATAATATAAAAAAGACCAGCCAGAGCATAGGCCCACGTGTCAAACGAGTATAGCCCGGCCCCCAGCGCTGTGCGCCACGTGTCAAACAAGTAGAGCCTGACGGCTATAATATTTTTAGAAGCACTGAAGGAAAAACTGAGTATAGCCGTGCGGCGATACAACTTTAAAAGTATATGTATTATTTTAATTCAATAATATGTGAGAATATGTATATAATACATGAATTTTGTGTGCCTTGTTGAAATTTTGTAAAAATACGAGTATAATGCATGAGAAATTTAATTAAGACATCCAAACAATTTCACAAAACACTTAATAAGTAGAAATTAATTATGTTGTGCACTCTATCCATAGTTTTTATTCGTATTAAATAGTAATTAAAATAATTCAAAAAGGATAAGACATTACTTCATTACACATAACAAATTAAAGAAGTAGGCCCAAAAAAAAGAGTAAAGACACTAATTTTATATGCTGAAAATTTTTTAAAACAAAAAAATTTAAAAATTATATTTAATAAACAGTATAGCCATTTGAATATACTATTTATAATATAAAAAAGACCAGCCCAGAGCATAGGCCCACGTGTCAAACAAGTATAGCCCGGGCCCAGCGCTGTGCGCCACGTGTCAACCAAGTAGAGCCAGACGGCTATACTATTTTTAAAAGCAATGAAGGAAAAACTGAGTATAGCCGTGCTGCAATACTGCTTTAAAAGTATATGTATTATTTTAATTCAATAATATGTGAGAATATGTATATAATACGTGGATTTTGTGTGCCTTATTGAAATTTTGAAAAAAATACGAGTATAATGCATGAGAAATTTAATTAAGACACCCAAACAATTTCACAAAACCCTTAATAAGTAGAAATTAATTATGTTGTGCACTCTATCCTTAATTTTTTTCGTATAAAATAGTAATTAATGTAATTCAAAAAGGATAAGACATTACTTAATCCCACATAATAAATTAAAGAAGTAGGCCCAAAAAAAAGAGTAAAGACACTAATTTTATATGCTGAAAATTTTTTAAAACAGAAAAAATTAAAAATTTTATTTAATAAACAGTATAGCCGTTCGGCTATACGATTTATAATATAAAAAAGACCAGCCCAGAGCGTAGGCCCATGTGTCAAACGAGTATAGCCCGGCCCCCAGCGTTGTGCGCCACGTGTTAAACAAGTAGAGCCGGACGGCTATACTATTTTTAAAAGCAATGAAGAAAAACTGAGTATAGCCGTGCGGCTGTACTGCTCTGAAAGTATATGTATTATTTTAATTCGATAATATGTGAGAATATGTATATAATACGTGAATTTTGTGTCCCTTATTGAACTTTTGTAAAAAATAGACGTATAATGCATGAGAAATTTAATTAAGACACCCAAACGATTTCACAAAACCCTTAATACGTAGAAATTAATTATGTTGTGCACTATATCCTTAATTTTTTTTTCGTATTAAATAGTAGTTAAAGTAATTAAAATGGATAAGACATTACTCAATCACACATAATAAATTAAAGAAGTAGGACCAAAAAAAGAGTAAAGACACTAATTTTATATGCTGAAAATTTTTCAAAACAAAAAAAATTAAAAATTTTATTTAATAAACAGTATAGCCGGTCGGCTATACTATTTATAATATAAAAAGACTAGCCCAGAGCATAGGCCCATGATATGTTAATATTTATATAACTTTTTGATAAATATTTCCCTTAGATTTTGTATAATTGGATTGGTTAATTGCACTATATTTAATTGTTTTGAGTTATAGGTGCTCAAATTTGGAAATACATGAAAAATAAAGTTGAAGTGCAATTTTGAGTGTCTAGATCAATTGTGGTGGGAAAGTCTCAATGGGCCTAATCAAGTTTACTGAAGATGCATAGGAGATGATACATGGGCTTGCGTTGGAGCGGAAAAGTCCAAGTGATATGATTTATTTTAAACTCTTTTTTTCAACAAGGACTAGGAGTCCAAGTCAAAGAGGGGAGTTATTTTATTATTTTTGAAGAAGCCGTAAAGGGGGATGAAGTTGTTTTTTTTTGGGGTGGTGAAGTCAACGTGAATTGGCAGGTTATTAATTGGAGGGGCAGCCACCAGACGAAAAAGAAAAAGAGGAAAAGAGGGAGGCGGCTGCTGTGCGAGGGGGGACCTAATTTTTGGAGTGGGAAAAATAGAAAAAAGAGAGGAGAAGAAGAGGGCAGCTACACCATTCCATTCTTCTCCATCCTCCAAGGTTCCAAGGTTTGAAAGGCTGAGGAAGCAAGGAGGAACATCAAGGCGTTGACCAATCACGCTGGCTGACCAACACACCATCAAAGAGCTACCTTTCTTTCCCTTTTTTATTTTCTGTTTTGTATGTTCTTGCTGTCTATTTAAATTATGGGTAACTAAGTACTTTAGTTAGGGCTTGATTGAAGCCCTAATCATGTTTCTTTAAGGATTTCGATATGCCTTTGCTGTAAATTACTTTTGTGATGCTTAATTGATCAATTTCAGACTATATTTTACTCTTTACAGACGTTATGTTATGCTTGATCACCATCTGCATGCTGTGTATTGAGTTTGTTACATAGGTGAATTTAGATGACGGAGTCTTGTGCCTATGAGAGATAAGTTCTTGGAATTAATCATCATGAATAACTAGAATAGATACCATGTTCTAGGAGTTGTGTGTTTGTTGATTTCCATTCTGTTATGCGTTCTTAAAGTGCAACTTAGTAGATACCATGCTAAACACTTTAAGAATGAAAAGAGTTAGAGTAGATACCCATGCCTAACTTGTTGCTCAGGGAAATCAATAACTTAAAGAGTAGATATCATGCCTTTAGGTTGACAACATAAGCATCTAAAATCTGTTTTGTAGCATTGTGCATGTCGTTTGCTTAAGGAAGAAGATCATCGGTGAACATCAAAGCCCTAACTAGTTTTTCTCATTGTTTTAACCTCAATCCAATTCTATTTTTAATCAAACGCTGTTTTCAATATTTAGTTTTGAAATTTTCAGTTTTTAACACCATCGTAAAATCATCCTTTTGAACTCCTTGTCTACACCGAGTGCCATTTGTTAGTAGTTCAAGGAGATTAATTTTAAGTACAAATTAATCCAATCCTCGTGGGAATGATCTCGTATTTGCTTTCTATACTATTTGTCCGATCTTGTGCACTTGCGAGTTAAAACGTGCATATAGTTGCTTAATTCTTAGGTTGCTATTTGTACAACAGCCCACGTGTCAAACGAGTATAGCCCGGCCCCGGCACTGTGAGCCACGTGTCAAGCAAGCAGAGCTAGACGGCTATACTATGTTTAAAAGCAATGAAGGAAAAACTGAATATAGCCGTTCGGCTATACTATTATAAAAGTATATGTATTATCTTAATTCAATAATATCTGACAATATGTATATAATACGTGAATTTTGTGTGCCTTATTGAAATTTTGTAAAAAATACGAGTATAATGCATGAGAAATTTAATTAAGACACACAAACGATTTCACAAAACACTTAATACGTCGAAATTAATTATGTTGTGCATCCCCTTAATTTTTTTTTTTTTTTTTTTTGTATTAAATAGTAATTAAAGTAATTAAAAATGGATAAGACATTACTCAATCACACATAATAAATTAAAGAAGTAGGCCCAAAAAAAAGAGTAAAGACACTAATTTTATATGCTGAAAATTTTTTAAAACAAAAAAAATTAAAAATTTTATTTAATAATCAGTATAGCCGTTCGGCTATACTATTTATAATACAAAAAAGACCAGCCCAGAGCATAGGCCCACGTGTCAAATGAGTATAGCCCGGCCCCAGCAGTGTGAGCCACGTGTCAAGCAAGCAGAGCCAGACGGCTATACTATGTTAAAAGCAATGAAGGAAAAACTGAGTATAGCCGTTCGGCTATACTGCTTTAAAGTATATGTATTATTTTAATTCGGTAATATGTGAGAATATGTATATAATACGTGAATTTTGTGTCCCTTATTGAAATTTTGTAAAAAATAGACGTATAATGCATGAGAAATTTCATTAAGACACCCAAACGATTTCACAAAACCTTTAATAACTAGAAATTAATTATGTTGTGCACTCTATCCTTAATTTTTTTTGTATTAAACAGTAATTAAAGTAATTCAAAAAGGATAAGACATTACTTAATGACACATAGTAAATTAAA